TAATATTTTACTGTTTTTAATTTTTTACCAATTTTTATATTTTAAAGAATTTTATAAAATGTTTCAGTAAAGGTCTGCAGTCAAAAAGAATTTATAAAGATGATGTTTTAAGTTGTATTGGGAAATATAAATCTTAATATATTTATCAGATAGAAAGCATATATGAAGCACTGGAAAGCTTTAAACTTTTCTGACAAAAATACATGTAAATAAGTCAAAATATCACAATATGGATACTAAATGTTTTGCATTAACTGCTTTTAAATTAAAAGTTGCAGTGTATACTTCTGTATTTTTCCTGTTTTTTAATGATTCATTTTTTTCTGGTTTTCATTGTAAGTACTCTAAATTTAAGTAAATGAGATAATTTATGTAAAAAAGTTGCAGTACTTTTGTTACGGTATTTAACGCTTAAATAACGCTTCACTTTCTGGATTATCGTCTCTATGTTTTTCGAGATTTCCAGACAATGTAGGATCTGGTCGTCGTCTTTTAAAGAATCCAAGTTTTCGAAGGACCAACGTAAGTAAAACAAATAATAACAAACCTGCTATAACAGCCACTATAATTATCCATATTGGTACTGGTTCAACATCTTGGTGATCAAGAAGATCTGGATATACAACTGTCTCAGCCTATATATTTAAAATATGAACAAAGTTTAAAAGCAAACATAAATAAGTACTGAATTGATAATATCAAACAATAATACTTACAATTGCATAATCATCTTTTAAATTTTCTTGTTGTATTACAACATTAGGTGGTATAATTATTTTTGCATTAGAACCTATTTTTACTTCATCTACTTTTGGATAATCTTCTACCAGAGTAGAATTCCACAGTCTAAGCATATGAAAACATTACTTTAACAAATGATTCAAGTCAAAAATTTATAGAAAAAATAACTGATGACCGTAGGAAATAGCGAATATTACCTTGCCTTAATAGTTATGATTGCTTCTTGTTTTCTTTGTAAATTGTATATAAAGCATGTAATATCAAAGCATTTGGCAGTTCCCGCTTTACAATTCTATTATTATTATACAAAATTATAAATTTAAATATTTATTATATATTCTCAGTATAATAATTTATTTTATATTTCATTCACACATTTACTCACCATTGAGACTACTTGATGTCTATGACCATCTTTATCGATGATAGTTCGCGTGTTAACAACTTTCTCCGTATCTCGTCTGGTTCTTATGTGATTAGTATGATTATGTGATAATGTTGTAGGAGTAGATACTACGGATTGGAATACGTCAAGATCATCGTAGCTAATACTATCTTGCAACTTTAATGGATTAACTACTTGTCCTGGTGGCAGTATACATTCGCCATCACCTAAAGCTACGAAGTTACAATTAATAAATAAGTATTATATTTTAATATTAACTAGAATAAAAAAAAAACATTGTTAAACATTAAACAGAATTTTACCTTGTACAGTTGGCAGTTCTTCTAAATATAAAAGCCATTTGCCATGAGCTTTATCGTTTGCGACCTCATAAGGCCACGAAATGCGAACTTCTAAGCTGCTTACTCTCCATGGACCTTCATTAAATACTTCGTACACATGAGAAACTTTAGGTCCTACTTCATTTAAATATTTTATAGCAGATTCACCTATAACTGGTCCACCATAAAAGGCCCATTGAATTTTTGCGCTCCTATAATTTTTATAATTTGTATATAATTCGTGATTTTATTGTGTGTTATTTCATAAACAATTGTGTACTATAAGGTAAAAATAGATGTTACCCTTTAATTGACAATTCCGCTCGTTTCAATACTGTTGCTTGTAATCTTACAGGCTCCTTTTCTTTTATTTCTTTTGAAGTAGAATTTGCAAATATTACAAATTCTAATTGCGATTTGTTATCTTCTAATTCTTTGGGATCAAACCTTACTTGTATATTTACTAACTTATCTTTTTTAAAAGGATTTCCAATGGAACAGCTTACTAAAGTAGCATTATGTAAATTACAAATCACAGAATCATTGCTTTTACTAGCAATATAATTTAAGCTTTGGGAATGAACAATGAATAATTGAGCTTCGTATGCAGATTCTCCAACGTTGGATACGTTCACATCTACTACAACTTCTTCTCTTTCACCCAGTAAAAGTTCATAGAAATTTGGTTTTATAGAAGAAGCTAGCAATTAGATATATAATTAATTTTTTTTAATTATTTTAACTTATATGTCTCAATAAATGTAATTTTTATAATACTTTTTATTAATTAAAAATTTACCTGATAAATTCAATCGAGCCTTTACTTGTAAATCACTTTCACAAATATCATTATTGCCACAATCTTTTTGAAAGGTTGCTTCAAACACACGAGCAGCTTCCTGTTGATTTAGAATAGGATACTTTTTTATATCAGGTAAAGGTTCTCCTTCACTAGGCATAATTGGCTCTTCTTGTACTAATGAATAATTTAAGCGAAATTTAATAGGCGACTGAATATCACGTGTATTTTCCTGAAAAGAATTGAATAATTTCAATTATATTTATTGTTTGTTTAAAGTAAGAAAAAATATTGAATTTGTTAAAAATACTATCTGAAAAAAAAAATATTAAATAGTACCTTTAAATAAACTATTTCTTTTTGACAGTGTTCCAATTTTGTTGTATCTAAAATAACAGTGCGATTTACATAATGTGAACGAGAATATCCAGTTTCAAACCA